CAGCAGCAGCAGAAGCTACAACAGAACCACCACCACCACCACCATGACAACAACAACAACCACAACAACAACAACAACCACAACAACAACAACCACAACAACAACAACAACAACAACAACAACAACAACAACAACAACATAACCACCACCACCACCACCACCAACAACAACAACAAAGAGAGGCGGTTGCCCTGGCGAAGAGCACGCTCTTCGGGGCTCCAAACATTTCGAACCACACACATATAGGCCTACCACACACACACCACCACCACCACCACCACCACCACCAACAACAACAACAGCAACAACAACAACAACAACTACAGCAACAACAACAACAACAACAACAACAACAACAACAACAACAACAATAACTACAACAACAACAACAAATTATAAAGCACGAGGAATCACTAGTTTTCCCTCTTATTTCTTTTCCTCAAACTACAGGTACGTCGAGTTGTACGTTCATATCCATACGCCGTGGGGAACTCTGAGCCACCACTTTCCAAAGAGGAAATTTACTCATTAATCCCATCCGTACGCTTTGCATAGCAGTCTGTCAAAACGATTTTTTGAGACATACTGAGAGTTTCAAAGAGATCTTCGCACTAGAAGTATTCTCAAATGTGAAGAATACAACCCTGGGAGTACAAAATGACCGCAGGGCTTATGGATAGGGTTAAACTACAGGTTGAGAACTAAACTCTCCTGCCGTACGTGACAAACGTCAGTGACCTTGACACACTTTCATTTATCTTGTACAGATTGCAACACATAATAATATTAGGATCAAAACAGACATATAGACATATAACAAACTTCTTGTTTTAGTAAGCATTTTTACCGCCCTTGCAACACAGTTAGGTCATACAAGTACTGTAGATTAGAGGTGTTACAAGAGAGTAACGAACATGAAAAGGAAGGAGGAGAGATAAGGACGATAGATATTTGATAGGACAGAAGGAGAAAACCACATTAGAGTTGTACCCGCCAACGACACATTATTATATACTTCCACCTATCTTGTAAAGAACACAACACATCAGTGTAAAAACACTCAAACACTTCCGTCTGTCTAATAGATAGTATTACATTGTAGATTTAAAACATACACACACTTCCCTTTCTCTTGTAAACAAGAATACACATATTAAAATAACTATCAAACATTCTGGACAAGACTACAGGACATACGTTTATCAAAACATTCATACACTCCCATTTATCTTGTAGACAGGACTACACAAATAATTACCAAAACAATAAAACACTTACATCTATCTTGTAGACATTACTACATTGTATAATCAAAACATTCATAGATTCCCCTCTATCTTCAAAAAAGGACTAACACATATATTTCAAGACACTCAAACACTTTCCTCTATCTTGTAGACAAGAAGACACACATAATTATCCAAACATTTTAGACAAGGCTACACAATATATAATAATCAAAACATCCATACAGTTCAGTCTATCTGGTAGAGAATACTACATTGGAGAATCAAAGCGTTCTACTCCCTTCTGTCTTGTAGACAAGACTACACAAATAAGTATCAAAACATTCAAACACTCCCATCAATCTAATAGAGAGTATTACACGGCAAAATAAAAAATTTATACATTTCCCTCTATCTTGTAGACAAGACTACACATATTCACATAATATAATTATCAAAACATTATAGACAAGACGACATGGCACACGTAATTATCAAAACATTCATACTCTCCCATCTATCTTGTAGACAATACTAAACATATAGGCCTAATTATCAAAACATTCATACTCTCCCCTCTATCTTGTAGACAATACTAAACATGTAATCATCAAAACATTCATACACTCCCCTCTATCTTGTAGACAATACTAAACATATAATTATCAAAACATTCATACTCTCCCCTCTATGTTGTAGACAATACTAAACATATAATTATCAAAACATTCATACTCTCCCCTCTATGTTGTAGACAATACTAAACATATAATTATCAAAACATTCATACTCTCCCCTCTATCTTGTAGACAATACTAAACATATAATCATCAAAACATTCATACACTCCCCTCTATCTTCAAAAAAAAGACTACACATATATTATCAAAACACTCAAACACTTCCCTCTATCTTGTACTTGTAGACAATACTAGGCTACACATAAAATAATCATCAAAACATTAAACACCTACATCTATCTGGTAGAGAATATGACATTGTAGAATCAAAACATTCATACACTCTTCTATCTTGTAGACAAAACTACGCATAATCATCAAAACATTCAACACTCCCCTCTATTTTGTAGACAAGACTACACATATTAATATAATTATCAAAACATTCTAGACAAGACTACATATTAATATCATTATCAAAACATTCTAGACAAGACTTTACATATTAATATAATTATCAAAACATTCATACATTTCCAGGCTATCTCGTAGCAGAATACTACATAGCAGAATCAAAACACAAAAACACTACCCACAATCTTGTAGACAAGACTACACAAATAATTGTACAAAACATTCAAACACTTTCATTATTCATTAATCTGTAGACAAGACTACACAAATAGTTGTACAAAACATTCAAACACTTTCATTAATCTATAGACAAGACTACACAAATAATTATACAAAATATTCAAACACGTCCATCTATCTAATAGAGAGTATTACACTGCAAAATCAAACATTCATACACTACCATATACTATATAGTTGAGAATACGTACTTTATTGTTCTATCAACATATAATAATGTAAGTGTGTTCTGTTCACTGCAAGCATTGCGGGGTAGCATTGTGTTGTATTTACTAAAATCCCCTAAATTATATGGCTCCAGCCCCCAGTATTATTTTGTCTGAAAAGTCAAGAAACAGTCAGATCTCAATTAAATAATATTATTCAGCATAATAAAATCGCTAGGGTTCATCACATTAGGCTATTAGGTGAGACATAGAGCATGCTGTAGGGCTGGAACATTTAAGCGTTTTACAAATGAAGTTATCATTATTATTATTATTAT